CAGTGCTCCAGGAGTCAAAATAATCTGCCCAGTGCCCTAGAGGGAGCCATGAGTTCCTGAGATTCAGCTCTTCTCTCTCACACTTGGTCCTCTAGAGCATTGTGACAATATGGAAATTTCTTGGTCAGGAAAGCAGAAGATTTCAGCCTTTGTTTTTGCAGGGCAAGATGAGTTAGTGTTGGAGTCCTTGCTGGCAAGTCTTTGCTTGCTCCAGGCTGTACTTCCTGCAGTGCATCACTGTGTAGCCCTCCCTTCAYTCCCAGGGCAGTAGTACCCGCCATGAGATTTTCCAGCTATATGGGTACTTCTCCTTCTTCCTAAATTCCAGGGAAATAAACAGATCTGCTCCACTGCCTAAATCCCTTCCTCGGAGAAAATCAAGCACCAATTTGGCACTGCTCAGGTGCTGTAGGTGAAGCAGGAACAGAAATAATTCCTGCAACAGGGTATGTTCTCCCATCTCCCCAGCATTCAGAACTCTGGTCCCTTTCCAGGGCCCCYATCCTGTCCTGGACTCCTTTAGCAATCCTAGCACTCTGCAACACTGCTTTCTGAGGTCTCTAAATCACCCAGCTCAGCACATTTTCTGTTTCCACTGGGCTCTGGGTGCAGACAGCACAGAGCCCTGCAGCTCAAGCCTGTCAGGGTGTTATCACTTGTGGCAGTGAGTCACCACAGCATGTGACAAACGAGCATCCTGAGTCAGTGTGGAGAGGGAGATCCCAGCCAGGAACACTCCCAAAGATCTGGTTCTTGATCTCAGTCTGGCTCTGGGGTTTCTGGAGCACAGCAGCCAGCACTGTGTCCCAGTGGTACCAGAGTTAATGGCATACTGGGCTGCATAGCAGGAGCCTAGCCAGAGACCAGCGAGTGACCACTGCCCTTCACTTGGCCCTTGTCAGGAAATTTGGAATGCTGTGTCCAGCTTGGGGCCCCCAGAACAAGACAGACATCAATAAAGTGCAGTGAGCTCAGTGAGGGGCTGCCAGGAGCACTCCATGAGCACCCCACGATGGCTGGGACAGAAGGAGCTGTGAGGAGAGGAACAAAATGAGCTTACCCAGCCCAGGGAAGAGAAYRCCTGMRGRAAMCYTTYC